GTATGAACTGTTTGGTTTTAATAGATTGTGCTTTGTTCAAAAAAAATGTAAACTTTTGGAAGTTCTTTTTTGTATGTATAACAGGGCATGGGAAAAGACAATATTATCCTTTACTCCCAAGTCAATGCTTTTGCACAAATGTAACCCGTGTAGCATCTAACTTTTGGTTACCAGGCAGTTTGGTCAGGGTACAAAATGTCAAATTAAAGTACTACCAACTGCCTATTTTTTGCACTTTTTGCTGGGTTGTACTTTTGTTTATATGAAGTGTAGTATCTAAAGTGTAGTATGTCTTTTGTTAAGAAGAAATAGAGTATCTGATGTGTAGTGTCTGTCTTTTGTTTATAACAAGTGTAGTGTCTGTTTTTTTATGTGCAGTAACTTGGCAAGTGTAAAAAAAGTGTAGTATCTGTCCTTAAATAGAAGAGGTGTAGTATCTTAACAAGTGTAGTTTCTAAAGGGTAGTACCTATCCTTAAATAGAAGAAGAGTAGTATCTTAACAAGTGTAGTTTCTAAAGTCTAGTATCTGTCCTTAAATAGAAGAAGTGTAGTATCTTAACAAGTGTAGTGGAACCACAGAACCAGAGAATCACAGGATCAAGTTAGTTTTGTGAATTTTCAGAATCACAAAACAGAACTTAAATCACCAGAAAATACGTAGCCTTTCACACAACAAAACAGAGGTAGACAAAAAACAGCACAGACCATACCAACATAAATGTGGTTTGTGTAAGTCTCCTACATGAAAGTGGTGACATTAGAGCAAAAACCTCACATATTTAGAACTGCTTTCATAACACAATCATGTTTGCATCATTAGTTTGCCAAAAAAATTTAAAATCTCCGTGTGCAAGGATATCAAAGTAGATACATCTTACTTGATTTGAAACGATTACGTTTAGCCGGGTCTGAAGTAGCTTCTGAGAAATTGAGCTCATTCTCAGACATGTCCAAGATCTCTGCAGATGTCACAGATTCTGAGTCTTCTTCTCCATCCTCTTCTTCGTAACTCCTTTCAGGGTCAGAGTAATCCCCCCCCCCCCCTTAAATACTTTTTACGGAAACTCCAAGTTGGATCCGTCTCAGAGGAGTATAATCCACCTCCATCCAAGCCAGATCCCCAAATCTCCTCATCCTTCCTCTTCGAAATAGTGGGTGGAGGGGATTTTTGACGAGGAAGAGATGTTTCCTCATCACTGTCACTAAGTAATTGAAAGGAGGGCATCGTAGGGTCGCAAGTTTTTATCGATTCAGAGAGGAGAAGAGATTTAGAGATTAGATTTGAGAGAAGAGGAGGGGAGAAGATGAGAGAAGCTCTGGGAATTGGAATCGGTGGTGAAGAGGAGAGAAGAAGATTAGAACGGGTTGGGGGGCGGATAGGGTAGATTTTGTTAGGGTTTTGGATAGAGGGGTATAATAGACTTTTTGTGATAAATGGGAAGTTTTTTTTGGGACGAAAAAAATGAAAGGGTAACTTTTTTGCGGGATGGAGGGAGTATTAAAATGTTGAGTATGAAATAAATGTTGTATTTCAATAAATTAGAAATTTAAACTAAATATGAGGATCATTTTAAAAATAAAACATTTTGTAAGGATTATCTTTATCTATACAAAGCAAATGTGGTGAAAATGAACAGTGTCACGTTTTCCCGCCTAAATGAATAGTGTGAGGGATATTGGGCCTGCAGTGTGTTTAATGGGCTTGGAGGTGGAAATGAGGCTTTATGGGGGAATGTGATAATAATTACCCAAACTTGATTAGTGTGTACATTGATTAGTGTGTATTAATAATACACACTAATCAATGTACACACTAATCAAGAGAAAAAGCACTTTATTGAGCCAATGTACACACATTATAATACAGTATTATAATGGGGAAGAGAAAAGGCACTTTATTGAGCCAAATAAAATTAATTGTGATACATTGGAGAGTGTGTAATCTCTTTTTCTATTTTAAGAGAACATCCTTGGAATATAAAAGCAACACTATCTCCCCTTTTAATAACCAAAACAAAAACGATTCAAGATAAAAAAATGTCCTCGATCGCAGTTTCATCCGAGTTGTGGACCAAGCTTGGCGACATTGATAAAGATCGAAGCTCGATGGCCATTCATGTGAGAGCAATTCGTGTGTACGAAATAAGTTCATTTGGTAGAATTAACGAATCAATGGAGGTTATTTTCCATGACGATCAAGTATGCTTCTTCAATTCCATTACTTTTTCATTAAGAAATAATTCTTATTTTTTGGGTTTCTACGTAAAAACGGCTCGTGGTTTTCTCCCGATTTGGGTTTCCACATCAAAATTTCTGTGTTTATATTTTGGTGTATTTTTAAACTAGTTTATCGTTTTGCCCGACTAAAAACGATATACCGGTCGATAATTTACACCATCAAAAAGAAAAATGTATCAAAGAGAGAGAATCGATCAATGAGAGAAAAAAAAGATACAAGGGTGTTTTAGTAAATGAATATTAATAATAATTAATTAATTAAATGTTAGTTTGGAAAAAAAGTTGTTAAGTACCATTTAAGAAAAAGTGTTAAATTTTGATGGTATTTGAATCAATTTTCACAATTTTATAATCTCTCCATCATAAGCTGATCATTCTAGACACTATTTACATGGTCATATTATAAACACTTTTTTTACTAATTTTCGTTAGTTATTTGATAAAATAATATAGTATGCCACCTATTTTTGTAGACCTTTTGATGTAATTTTAAAATATATCATTTTTATTATTATTAATATATACGAATTTATAAATATAAAAAATTCAAAACATAGAAAATTTTATCTAATAGCTCCTTATTTATAATCAAATTAGAAAGAGAGAGAAGATATGAAATCAAAATATTTAATTAGAAGCTCATAAATACCCGTGAAGCCTCAGAGCTTCAAACCAAGACTTCAAAACTTCTCTCTCTACCACGACACCTTTAACTTTTTAACTTACCTAATAGTTTCACGTGAATGGGTTTGAAGCTCCAGAGCTACAATTGGGGGCTTCAAACCTTTATTTTTTATATTTTCAATACACATGTTCAAAGAATAAGTTAAATTAAAGTTCATTTTAATTAAATATAAATGACAACAATTCATTAAATAAAAAAATTACATTCAATAAAAGAAGAACATTTAATAAAAAATACATTAATAACAAAAAGAAAAAATATCTCAAATTATCCAACCTTTTCGCGCTCTTTCCAAAATAATTACACTTTTCACTATCACCAAAAATAATCCCACCTTTCTGCATGTGTGTGAGTTTTGGGTCACCGTTAAAAAACTAACGGCCGCTTAACGAAATTTTTAGAAAATGATGTTTTTTGAAAGAAAAATTAAAGGTGAGATTATTTTATAGATTTGTCTAACGATTTACAAATTTTGTTCTCTGTTCTGGGAAAATATAATATTGATTTATCAAATATAATTTAGAGTATCAATCAAGAAAGAAATTACAATGCAAAAAAAATTGTAGGAGTTAAAAAATTTATTAGTATTGTTTCGGAGCAAAAAAATATTGTACCATTTTCACAACTTTTGAATTATTATTTTGGGGAAACATTTGTACTGAATTATCAAAAAAAATTAGGTAGTTCCATATTAGAAGAAATAATATAGGCAATAGAATATTATCAATAAATATTTTGGAGTGTTGTTTATTAAAAAATTGCAATACAATAGAAATGTATTGAGTTATAACAATAAAAGTCTATTTCATAGAAAAAATTGTTTTGTTATTTCCACAATTATTGTAATGTTGTTTCAAAAAAAGATATTTATATAGAATTATCAAAAAATATTCACGTATCAAGGTCGGTTTCCATTATTTCGATCTCTTCCTTCTGTTTCCTTCGTTTTTCCCTCTCTTCTTCCCTAATGTTGAACACCCGTAGTTGTTCAACCATTGCCCGGCTAATTGCGTTACGAACAACAACGGATTATTCCAGAATGTTCGAAAGAGCCACATCGCATACTCGTTTAGCTCAAGAACACCCGGAGAAGAACCAGAGGGATTCATGATAAAAATAAATAATTGAATAACAATTTTTTAGAGAAAGATGATAGATAGAGAGAAATTTATATTTGTGTTGAATTTACAAAAAAATCGATGAATTTATAGAGAAGGAAAGAAGAAGAAAGAGGAAGAAATTTTATATATATATATATATATATATATATATATATATATATATATATATATATATATATATATATATATATAAGTAAATTGGTCCCTAGTTATAGGTCGTTTTACAGATTTAGTCCCTACATATCAAATATTACTAATTTAGTGCCCAATTATTATATTTATTTCCACGAATGGTCCTTTGGTAACATTTCCGTTAAGAACGTGGACAAAATTATAAATTCAAACTCCTTTATCTCATCAATTAAGCTTCCTCCCTCCCCTTGCACTTCTTTCCAAACTCGTCGTTGAGTTTGAAGCTTTGAACCCAAAACCGAAATCATCACGCTTCTCTTCATTGTTTGTCTAACTGGTAGAACTCAAATTCAAAACCAGTAATATTCATGGATGAGTTTTAATGTTTATTTTCTTTGAAATTTCTTGAGACTAACCGATAAAACTCATCCATAAAGCTTATTGGTTTTAATTTTAGTTTCCACCAGGAAGAGTAATAATTGAGAGAGAAATGATCATTTCAGTTTTTGGTTTAGAGATTCAAACTCAGCGACGAGTTTGGGAAAGAGTACGAGAGGAGGGAGGGAGCTTAATTTAGGAGAGAGAGAAGTATGAATATACAATTTTATCCATGTTTTTAACAAAAACGTTAATAAAGGACCATTCATAAAAAATGATGTAATAATTGGGGATTAAATTAGTAATATTTGATATGTAGAGACTAAATAGGTAAAACAATAAATAACTAGGGATCTTTAATGGAATTTACTATATATATATATATACATACATACATACATACTGTATATATATATTGTAACGTTTGAGGCAGGGGTGGGTAACACACAAATAAAGCCCCGGGACGTCGTACCCCTAGCGTTACCCGCATTTCAATTGCTCTCATTCTTATTTCTTACCCGGTTGGCAGGAAATTTCTGAGAGCCCGTCCGTTCGCTTATCCAAAATGTCACTCGCCCCTCATCTTCTTCAACTTCCCATCTCCCAATTCAAATCCCTCAATCTCACCTCCACCTTCCTCCATGGCGCCTCCTCCCTACCCCATCATCTCTCCAACCCAACTTCATCCTCTCCCTCTCCACGCGCCTCCGCCTTCGCTCCGGCAATCCGAGCCATGAGGTCGATGCAAGGCCGCGTCGTCTGCACCGCCAACGACAAGACCGTCGCCGTCGAGGTCGTCCGCCTGGTGCCGCACCCCAAGTACCAGCGCAGGGTTCGGAAGAAGAAGAGGTTCCAGGCTCACGACCCTCTGAACCAGTTCAAAGTCGGTGACCTTGTTCAACTCGAGAAGAGCCGGCCGATTAGCAAGACCAAGGCGTTCGTAGCCATAGCTTCCCCTCCACGGAATCAGTCCAAACGCAAGGAGGAAGGCGAGTCCCAGGAGCTTGGGCTTCCATTAGAATCCGAGGAGATATTGGCCTAGACCTCTGGCCTTTGCTGGAATCCAATGCTTGTACTGTGAGTTATCTTTATGTTTTTTTTCCTGTCTTTTTTCCAGTGAATTAAACCGTCCTGTTATTCAATTCATGTGTGAAATGATCAATATTTGCCTGTTTCGTGATCGTTAAATCTTGGTTCTGGTTTATTGTTTTGCTTATTCATCACTCCGGAATGAATGATGCTTATGGGAAATGGCAGCTAAGGTGTTCTACCATTTGTCTGAGCGAAGGTTGTGATAGTTAGGGTTGGGCAATTGTATACAGATCATATAAATTTATACTCCGGTCTCAATATGAAATGCTCACAAAATTTCTCCATCAATAATCACATTTCTCACTTTTCACCATTTTTTTATTCTGTTAAAACCAATTCATGAATCATTTAATGGGAGGGATGAAGTGATTATTTCTGATCGTGATACGATTAGACCACTTGACATTCAGGTTTAATCAATTCTCCATTTGGCTTATTGATGGAGAACTCAATCTTGTTATGGAACCAAAACTTGTCCTCAATAACGTAGTTGTTGCTTCCCACAGCCATCACCTCGCCGAAGGGTTGCATTTCATGATGCAACTGGTACTGGTGGCTAGTCCAATCTCTGAGAGACTCTCTCGAGACTCCACAATGTCGCTAGACTTACAGGATGTCTTACAAATTAAACCCTTACAACTGCTCATAAATATTCTTTCTACAAGACTTCACACAGTACACACTTCTCGTCCAAGACTTCAACCACTAACATTATAGCTTATTAGCAAATTGAAACTGACAAATTGATCTTCCTAACTCCCTTCGTCCCCCAGTTTTTGTCCATTTTTGACTTTTGGAACTGTTCATCTAAGCACTTTGACTCATCAAATTCTCTCAATGTGTAAGTCTAAATATAGTCATGTGTGATCTTGTTTGATTTGTCTTAACATATAGATTATCAATATATAATTATTATAATTTTTTAATATACAAATTACAAGATAAAATGAATTAAAGAAGTGCATTGGATGGTGTGTAAAAATGAAAGTGGACAAATACTCTGGGATGGAGAGAGTATTATTTTTGCGTTGTTCCAAATTTAATACTCTCTATTTTTATTTTCTTTTTTGAAAAGCTTTTTGTGGTCTACATGTTTCTCTCTCATTTGCACTACTTTCAACCACACAATATGACTTTTCTTAAATTCCGTGCGAAGTCAAAGTAGAAGCTTTAGGGGGGTGTATTCAATCTAGATTTTATAAGATTCGGTAAAATCCATGGATAATTTAGAGTTTATGCAGAGTTAGGTAGATTTTACTGGATTTTATCAACAAGATTTCATAGAATTCTAGTAGATTATTTATAATCCATGGATTATTACATTTGAATTATTTTAAAAATTCATACTTTACTCTAATTTTAATTATATTCATGAAATTGATAAAAAGATTAAATTAAAAACTAATATAATAAAATAAAAATAAATTATTTTTTAAACATTATTATCTTATTATAAATTTATTAGCATAGAATAATGTATTGATCATTGTCATAAGCAATAAATTTGTTTTAAAACTCAAAACATTATTTTCTCTAAACTATTTTTCATGTATGTAAAATTTTATCAATAAAAAATAAAAGACAACACAAATGATAGAATACATTACACAAAAATTCAAAGAAATATTAAAAATAAAATTATTAAATAATATAGCTCTCAAAAACAATTTAAAAAAACACGAGTACTCTTAACTTTCAGCCAAAACAAAGTCACATATTACATTAAGAATAAATTCACATAATCCTTTCATTCATCCTAATATATCTTCTTATTTTATCCTCTCATCTTGTGCTGTATCCAACTTAACCGTTCTTCATGTGACATCTTCAAGAAGACATTTTTTCCCCTTTGTTATCAAGCAACTCAACCGCTTTAAACTGGGTGTCCTCATCTAAGCCCGGGGTATCCTTGATGGCATCCCAAATTGTATATTCTCTCTCTCTTTCTCTTTTCTCTAGCAGGCTATAGATTCCTTTGAAACTTGTAGATATTTCATTTAGCCTTTCCATGACACCACTTTCTTCATATGTACTTCTATTTCTTTTGGTTTGTGTTACTTTTTGCATGGGAACCTCATGACTTTTAGGAGATATGAGCGGTGATGTGGAGGGAAAAGGTGGGTCACTTTGAGGTTGGCTTATGAATGCATCATTTTCCAAGTTATAATCAAGGTCGTCTATTTGCACATCTCTCCCTTCTTCCGCGCCTAATGTTCTTGCATCAGTTGAACTACCTAACCCAATTGAGTTTTTTTCCAACAGCTACACCATTACCAATTGCGATTTCCAAGTCCTCATAATCATGAAATGTTCCATAGCGTAATTTGTTGTTATGTTTTGGATGAGCCTATAAAACAACATAAAAACAAATTTATTATTGCATTACATTTATCAAAAGATTCATCTATTCAAATACTTTGTCATATAATATACTTACCTTGAAATAATCTGCCCATACTTCATCAGTGGTAGTGAACATCTTTGTAGTCGAGTTAAACCTAAAACCAGAGCTAAAACGCATAAGCTCTGAATAAGCGTTCCATTTATTTTTAAATCATTTCAATCGGCTTTGGTAATTGATACGTTACAAATTGTCACATTTTATATGGTCATACTTTAGTTCTTTGTTATATTTTTAATGCATTTTATGTTAAAATAAAGTGTAAAATGAAATATTTGGCTCTTTAGTCTACTTATTATATTTTTTACACTAAAATCATAAGTTGGGTAAAGTTTTTATTTTAATTCGTGTTGAAATTAATTTCTCTTATATATATTTTCAGATATACTCTTTCGAATAAAAAATACTGTAGATGTTAAGTTCAAGGGATGGAGAATTGGGCCAAGCTTTAATGGAATTGAAGATTTAAATTCCAAGTGAAGTTAAGATCCAATTGTTATATCCCATCTTAATTCCCAACCCAACCCAAGATAAAACCTTAAAAAAATAAAGAAGAACGATATAAAAGGGAGGAGGAGATGATCGCAGGAGAGAAAAAATGGGAAAAAAGAGGCGAAGGAACAGAGAGCAGCGGCAGTGGCAGCGACGACCTTGTGCGGCGTCGACGGCTCCTCAGCTACTCCAACTTCTCCTTTTCTTCCAATTTCAGAGTTTAATCCTTCTTCTCTTCTCTTTAATATGTCAAACTTTAATTTTTATTGTGTTGATTTTTGCACTATGATAGCTTAAAACTCCATAGCTAGGGCAAGGATGAAGCTCATATATTCAATTTGATTTTTATTCATGATTTATTTTTCCATATTGATCTTAAATGTTTGTTGTCTATTTTTCCAATTGATTGTTAGAGTTTATTTTTAGATGAGTTCAATCATGTTTTTCTCATGCTTTGAATAATCCTTATAATTGTTTGACAAGTTAAAAGAGTGGATATTAGTTGTGATTTCTTGTTGAGATACAATTAATGATTTGAATTTCTCTTGAAACTTTGAAAAATAGCAAACTATAGAAATTCTTTTTTAGAGCTTAATTGATATATCTTCCATGATAACAAGACTTGGTTGCGAGATTATCATGCGTATTAAGTTCGAAAAAAATAATGATTGAGTAAAAATTTCATTTGAATATATAAGTGGATTCCAAGTCCTAGTTCTTTCTCATATTTGAAAACTTATTTTTAATCTCTTAATTTTAGTAGTTAGTATGATCTTTAGTTTTTGACTAATTTAAGATTTATTTAAAATAATTCACTTTCACATTTAGTTGTTTTTTAAATATTAGATTTTGTCCAATTAGATTAGAAATATTCAATTGAATCTAGAATAAAATTCTTCACATATTCAAGTCTCTGTGGGATCAACCTTGTATTTGCATTGCTATACTTTCGTACGGTTTGTGCACTTGCGAGTAAATAAAATATCACAACAGTAATTGAGATAGTTCCGACATCCCAGTCTTTTATTAAGCTTGGGAAGTATCCTCTCTTCCACTGTTTGTTTAAAAAAAATACCACTATTATCACGCCATCCTCGAGCAGCGGCATCCACCATGAGCTCTAACAGTACATCACTTTCTTTGGTTGTCCATTGCTCATATCCTCCTTTTTTTGGTATCTTGTTGTTAATCACTCATGATTATATTGTTATGAAAGTAAAAAAAAAGGACCGTGCTACAGTGCACCCGCCCTTGCCTCCGTTGCTGCCTCCCTATTTAAGCTGTTTTTTTACCTTTTCTCCTTTTTTTTTCTTTCCTCTATGTCGCTCTGGCGGCTCTACTCTTCGTGCCAACCAGCCGCATGACTCTCCTCTCCCTTTTCTGCGCTCTCCTTCCTACAAGGCAGGTAATTTCTTCTTTTTCTTATCTTCCTCTTTATATCTCTGATGCGCCAACCCCTGTAGCTCGACCATCCCTCTGTCAATCTATTCTCTTCATTCCATTTTAAGTCAATTTCTATAGCAATAATTTTTTGAGTTTTTGTGGAGTACATAGGGTATTTGGTGATTATGAACTTACAAACATGTATTGTTACACATGTTGAAAATGATCAACCACATGATTTTGGTGGTGAAGAAGAAGACCTGGTTTTATATCACTTGCAGCCCAGTTGTAAGTGTTGATATTTAGACCCCATTCTATATTCATTTGAAGTAGTGAAAAAATACTGTTTTGTTTTGGTGTTACAGAGATTAAAGTTCTACTTGGATCCCAAACAGGAACAGTGTCTACGATTATTAGACATACGTGAGACGTAAACCACATAAAAACAAAAGAAGTATCAGTCCGTAACATAATATAATTTCCACGACAAAAAAACGTCGAAAACTTGGTCTAAACAAAGAATTGCTAGGAACGAAAGTTATAAATAAATTGCTGCTTCCCGTTCTTGTTTGTTCACGTGAGATCGGACAGAACACAAATGACATTAACAATGATGTCCGGAACAATGGTCAGTGTCCTTCTAAAGTAAACAAAGGTAGCGTACCTGAAGTGGGGATGAAGTTTACAAGCATTGAAGAAATCCGAGAACACTATCTGGCTTATGCTCGAAGTGTAGGATTTCTAATGCGGACTAGGACAACTTGCACAGCCAAAGATGGAATTCTTAGAAGTGTTACATTTGTGTGTAGTCGACAAGGAAATAAAAAGAGCAAAACACAAGATGTGTTCCACCCGAGGCCAACAATGCAATTGGGATGTGAAGCTAGAGTAACTGCGTCATGTGATGGTGATGGAATATGGAAGATCTTCGTTGTGCAGTTATTGCATAACCATGACTTGAGTCCTACGAAATCTAGAATATATCGTTGTAATCGTAGTTTGCCAGCCAGTGTTAAAAAGCAGCTTGAGGTTAATGACAAGGCAGGAATTCCCTTGCACAAGAGTTTTCAAGCAGCCGTTGTGGAAGCGGGTGGGTATGAAGAACTTGGCTTTATAGAGAAGGATTGTCGAAATTACATTGAAGAGTTTAGACGATTAAGACTTGGTCTCGGAAATGCTAGCACCATCACTCCACAATTGTCGGGCTTAATGGTAAGCCCACCAACAAATACTCTAGAAATGCTAGCACCATCACTCCACAACTGCCATACCTGCAAGGGAAAATAGTATTAAAATATGTAGGGGTATGATTTTCACCACTCCATGGGAGTACCATAACGAAATAATGGCGAACAGACCTAGAGTCGTGTTGCGGAATACCATTGACAACAATTGTTTCCCATTTCTTCTCCAAAGTGTTTGGGCCCACACCCTTAACCGTGCGAAGTAGGGGGGGTATTCTTCTTACTACATCTTGAACGTAAAATGAGGATTTCGGCCCTTTCAAGGAGTCATAAACTCAAACTTGATTTCGTAAGAGGTCTAATTCAGCTAGAACCCAATGTCTCCCATCTTCATTCACGGGCAAAAAAATCTACACATCAAGGGAGAAAAAAAGAGCTTATTGTTTTACAAAACACACAGACAGTTTATGTATGTGAAGAGAGATTCACATGAGTTTAAGTGCATGGAAGTCAGAAGAAGCATATTACCTTTTCAACGCCAGACCAATCAAACTTGCTTAAGAACTTATCCTTAGACCAAACTCTTTCATCGGCATTCATACGTAGTTAGTGGTTCTATACAAAATAAACATAAGACTTTTTTGAACATATCCTTATCTTTAGCACAATCAAAATTTAAGAAAAATGGCCTTACCACAAACACTGGTCCAACAACAGTGAAGTTCTTGCACTCTATCCCATTGAGAACTTCCATCATATTGCCCATAATAGCCTCCAGTTGCTTAACATATAACAAAAACCAGTTATTAAATGTCATAATATGGAAATTAATTTAACCAATAAAGCTTACTAACATCATTGCTAAACCATTTTTCCTGATCTATAAGATCACGGAAGAAGTCTCGATTGACGTGGCCAATACCTTTGGACTGTAGTTCAATTGTCGTGGGAGAGACATTGTCTTCTTCATTTATCCAATTTTCAAGACTATTCCAATCTTCAACTGTTATTTCAATTGTGAATAAATTTATCGTTGGTCACTCATTCTTACGCGGTCGGGGGTCTGTAAAGGGGCTGCAGTAGTACTTTGATTTTTGTCTCTTTCTCTTCTGCAAAGGTTCCTCCATCACATGTTTTCCCTTACTCAACAGCTTTTCCTACGTAATTAATACATTAAATTGTCAAATGCAAAGGAAATAAAAATGTAAGTAAATAGAACCTACTTAAGGAATTTTACCTTTTTGAGAGTCAATTCCATCAGAAGCTTGTCCTCATCCTCATTTTGCTCAGTAGCAGTGTCCTAGAAGCATGTTCTATTTACTTACAATTTTCTTTCCTTCGCATTTGACAATTTAATGTATTAATTACGTAGGAAAAGCTGTTGAGTAAGGGAAAACATGTGATGTAGGAACCTTTGCAGAAGAGAAAGAGACAAAAATCAAAGTACTACTGCAGCCCCTTTACAGACCCCCGACCACGTAAGAATGTGCGACCAACGGTAAATCCGTTCACAATTGAAATACTCCCTCCGTCCCGCTATATTCGTCCACTTTTGACTTTTGAAACTGTTCATCTAAGCACTTTGACTCATTAAATTCTCTCAATGTGTAAGTCTAAATATAGTCATGCGTGATCTTGTTTGATTTGTCTTAACATATAGATTATTAATATATATAATTTCTATAATTTTTTAATATACAAATTACAAGATAAAATGGATTAAAGAAGTTTATTTGATGGTGTGTAAAAATGAAAGTGGACAAATACTTTGGGACAGAGGGAGTAACAGTTGAAGATTGGAACAGTCTTGAAAGTTGGATAAATGAAGAAGACAATGTCTCTCCCACGACAATTGAACTACAGTCCAAAGGTGTTGGCCACGTCAATCGAGACTTCTTCCGTGATCTTATAGATCAGGAAAAATGGTTAGGCAATGATGTTAGTAAGATTTATTGGTTAAATTAATTTCCATATCATGACATTTAATAACTGGTTTCTGTTATATGTTAAGCATCTGGAGGCTATTATGGACAATATGATGGAAGTTCTCAATGGGATAGAGTGCAAGAACTTCATTGTTGTTGGACTAGTGTTTGTGGTTAGGCCATTTTTCTTAAATTTTGATTGTGTTAATGATAAGGATATGTTCAAAAGTCTTATGTTTATTTTGTATAGAACCGCTTACTATGTATGAATGCTAATGAAAGAGTTTGGTCTAAGGATAAGTTCTTAAGCAAGTTTGATTGGTCTGGCGTTGAAAAGGTAATATGCTTCTTCTGACTTCCATGCACTTAAACTCATGTGAATCTCTCTTCACATACATAAACTGCCTCACATACATAAACTGTCTGTGTTTTTTAAAACAGACAGTAAGCTCTTTTTTTCTCCCTTGATGCGTAGATTTTTTTGTCCGTGAAAGGAGATGGGAGACATTGGTTCTAGCTGAATTAGACCTCTTACGAAATAAAGTTCGAGTTTATGACTCCTTGAAAGGGCCGAAATCCTCATTTTACGTTCAAGACGTAGTAAGAAGAATACCCCCCCTACTTCGCACGGTTAAGGGTGTGGGTCCAAACACTTTGGAGAAGAAATGGGAAACAATTGTTGTCAATGGTATTCCGCAACACGACTCTAGGTCTGTTCGCCATTATTTCGTTATGGTACTCCCATGGAGTGGTGAAAATCATACCCCCTACTTATTTTAATACAATTTTCCCTTACAGGTATGGCAATTGTGGAGTGATGGTGCTAGCATTTCTAGAGTATTTGTTGGTGGGCTTACCATTAAGCCCGACAATTGTGGAGTGATGGTGCTAGCATTTCCGAGACCAAGTCTTAATCGTCTAAACTCTTCAATGTAATTTCGACAATCCTTCTCTATAAAGCCAAGTTCTTCATACCCACCCGCTTCCACAACGGCTGCTTGAAAACTCTTGTGCAAGGGAATTCCTGCCTTGTCATTAACCTCAAGCTGCTTTTTAACACTGGCTGGCAAACTACGATTACAACGATATATTCTAGATTTCGTAGGACTCAAGTCATGGTTATGCAATAACTGCACAACGAAGATCTTCCATATTCCATCACCATCACATGACGCAGTTACTCTAGCTTCACATCCCAATTGCATTGTTGGCCTCGGGTGGAACACATCTTGTGTTTTGCTCTTTTTATTTCCTTGTCGACTACACACAAATGTAACACTTCTAAGAATTCCATCTTTGGCTGTGCAAGTTGTCCTAGTCCGCATTAGAAATCCTACACTTCGAGCATAAGCCAGATAGTGTTCTCGGATTTCTTCAATGCTTGTAAACTTCATCCCCACTTCAGGTACGCTACCTTTGTTTACTTTAGAAGGACACTGACCATTGTTCCGGACATCATTGTTAATGTCATTTGTGTTCTGTCCGATCTCACGTGAACAAACAAGAACGGGAAGCAGCAATTTATTTATAACTTTCGTTCCTAGCAATTCTTTGTTTAGACCAAGTTTTCGACGTTTTTTTGTCGTGGAAATTATATTATGTTACGGACTGATACTTCTTTTGTTTTTATGTGGTTTACGTCTCACGTATGTCTAATAATCGTAGACACTGTTCCTGTTTGGGATCCAAGTCAGAACTTTAATCTCTGTAACACCAAAACAAAACAGTATTTTTTCACTACTTCAAATGAATATAGAATGGGGTCTAAATATCTACACTTACAACTGGGCTGCAAGTCATATAAAACCAGGTCTTCTTCTTGACCACCAAAATCATGTGGTTGATCATTCTCAACATGTGTAACAATACATGTTTGTAAGTCCATAATCACCAAATACCCTATGTACTCCACAAAAACTCAAAAAATTATTGCTATAGAAATTGACTAAAAATGGAATGAAGAGAAGAGATTGACAGAGGGATGGTCGTGCTACAGGGGTTGGCGCATCAGAGATATGAAAAGGAAGATAAGAAAAAGAAGATATTACCTGCCTTGTGGGAAGGAGAGCGTAGAAAAGGGAGAGGAGAGTCGTGCGGCTGGCTGGCACGGAAGAGCAGAGCCGCCAGAGCGACGTAGAGGAAAGAAAAAAAAGGAGAAAAGGTAAAAAACATCTTAAATAGGGAGGCAGCAACGGAGGCAAGGGCGGGTGCACTGTAGCACGATCCTTCCGAAAATACTGTATGAGTGAAAAGAGGATTGAATTTGAATGAGACCATTTTTTAATTATCACATGTTTGTTAATTATGATAGGCAAAAACCCAATTGAGGATAGTTTGCATGCCTTTCAAGCAAATAGTTGGAAAGTGCATACTGACCCTATCACTTTTGTCTCCATGTTTTCACACTCTAATGATTTTCCTCCTTAGCCCCCATAAAATAAGTTGCACCAAATAGGAAAAAAAAGAAAAGAGAAAGCAACCCTTACAGTAAACTCTAATTGCAAAGTAACAAAGGTATTTTTGGCACCCACTACACTCATTATGCTCCATTATTGCTCCTATCAATTTCTTCCATTTTTATGTTCTTGGAAGGCACACTTTCCTTAGAATGAAGAAAATGAGTAGGATTTTGAAGTTTTTTTTAATGGAAATTAATAGACATCAAATGTTACATAAACACTTGTATGAAAAAAAATTATGATCCTTCTTTTTTAGGGCTTCCTTGATTCGGCCAGACAGTTATACCCCCGAGTATTTGTACTCCCTAATGTATTTTGGAGAGGAGGTAGTAATTAAAGTAGAAAGATTTCAAGAAATAATGCTCACATTGATTTAATACAAAACAAAATAAAGAGTATCTTTATTTAAAAAATATGTTGTGCATCACCAATTCGGGATATTCAGCAAGGTTATCTTCTGAGCTTATTCAACAAATAGTAATTTCAATGGTTTTTGAAATTTGGGGATATTTTTGCCCAGCCCACATTCTCACTGCCTGTAACATCTCATGTGTATGCAGGGGAGACAACATAGAGCTTAGGGTGGAGTTAGAATACCAGTGTCTAATGAGACAACTGAAAAATATGGCATTTTTTTGGAGTAAATTCTATAATTGATCCTTCACAATAGGGGGGTTTCTCTAATTAGTCCCCTATTATCAAATATTATTGAAGTGGTCCTTTTATGGGTATCTTTCCACAAATAGTCCTTTTTTTGATCTTCTATCATGTTGGTGTTAATTTGAGAGCTAAAAGTGTAATTTCACAATGATAATATATCTTTTTTGTCATACACAATTTCAAAGGTTGTTCCGTTTGCGTCGTTTGTGAATTACAGTCGCTTTCTATTACCACCATAGTCTACAAATGTGGTCTTTCGTCATAAATCTAGCCTACAACCATAGTCATTATTTTTGTGTTATCCGCTTAACCAATATCAGAACATGTCACTAAACATAATGTTGATGTCAAATTATACTTTTAACTTTTAAATTAACACCAACACGACAGAAGATAAAAAAAGGTTCATTTGTGGAAAGGTACCCTTAAACAAAGGACTACAGGGGTAATATTTGATAATAGATGACTAAATATGGAAACCCCCTATTATAAAGTACCAATTATGGAATTTACTCATTTTTTTGCAATACCAAGTCTCAGGACATCTCAACAGGAACTCCTTTTTCTCTTATTTAAAGGCCAAGCCCAAATACAGAGTGCAACAAGAGTGACGAATTGACTCTTTTGATTAAAAAAAATAAAAAAATTAAGAAAAAACAGATTGAAGAGGAGACAACAAATCTGGAATTCTCAATCCGGAAGACCATATCCATAAAGAAATTCATTATAGTTTATTGGAGTTAGAGAAATCTTACCGTGAAGGCTTGACGACGATAGAGGGAAGTTGGAGAAGAGAAAAACCTGTGCTAACGGAGGAGGAGATGCCAATGGAGGAGGAGATAGAGAAGATTAGCCGAAGAAGAGAAGAAGATTCGTAGGAGGAGGTGGAGAAGATGAGGCGGAAGAAAAGAGGGGCTTTTGGATTCCACACAATCCCAAGCCTTTTCTGGATTTGGAAAAATCTATTTTATTTATACTTCAGGCTAAGAATCCATCAAAATCTATTTTTTATTAAAATCCTTGAAAATCTATCAATTTTTCAATATCATTAGATTTAGAAAGATTTTTTAAAATCTCAATTGAATACTTTTAAATTTTAAATGATTTTTTAAAATCCCAATTGAATACTCATTGACTTTTAAAATCCTAAAAAATCCCGCAGAGTCAGATTGAATACACCTCCCTTAGTCTAATTTGATTTTGATTTGATTAGGGACATGTTTGCTCTAGTTTATTTTTTAGTCTCTCTTTCGTAATATTCTTTCTATTTGACTTTTCACGATCTTCTAAATTGCACTTTGATCAATAATATCTATATTTATACATAAATATATTTTATAAAATTTTGATATTTGTAAATTAACATATAAATTTTTTAAACACGATTATGCTAAGAAATTTGTGGGTAAGAATACAAAATTTAATTTCCACATAAAAAGTTTTTTTGTTAACTAATCATTTGAATATTAATTGCTGACATGACATGTTGACATGTCAAAAAAAGTTCCCAATAAGCACGCCACATGTCACAATTCTAGAAGCTCAAATCTCAAATTTTATAGTATATAGCATTATAACCCGTGGGACGCACGAATTAAGCAAAGATAAGGCGTAGTGTATCTTACTTGCATGATATCATGTGATTCTTGTGAATTGTGAATTCATCTATGCGTGTATTTGAAATGTTAGATATTCTAATCTAACATCACCACTTAGGTAGCGTTCCGTTCAACTTATTTTTTCTGTTTATTACTTATTGCTATTATTATTATTACTACTAATAATAATATTAATATAATATTAATATTATTATTACTAATATTATTACTATTATTATTATTATTATTGCTATTATTATTACTATTATTATTATTATTATTGAAATTATTATTATTATTGAAATTATTGTTATTATTATTATTATTACTATTATTATTGTTGTTGTTATTATTTTTATTATTACTATTACTATTAATATCATTATTACTATAACTATTATTATTATTATTACTATTATTATTATTATTATTTCTATTATTACTACTATTATTATTGCTATTATTATTATTACTATTACTATCATAACTATTACTATGGCTATTACTATTATTATTGTGATCATAAATATTATTCCTATTGTTATTATAATTATTAATATTATTATTATTACTAATAATAATAATAATAATAATAATATTATTATTATTATTATTTCTATTATTATTACTATTAGTATTATTATTGTTATTATTATTATTATTATTATTTTAATTTAAATTGAATTAATCAGATCAAATTCAATCAGATCGGAACTTCAAAAAATTACATGAATGTGTAACTGATAACTTTTAAGTACTTAAATCTGTCGAACTTATTATTTTCAGGCATGAGCACAAAGTTATGTTTTAAATAATTTACTTTAGTTCCTGCCCTATTTACATTACTCTCATAAATGTTTTTAAGTAATATTATGGACTTAAATAGTTTAAAATTATTTGGGAAAAGTGATTTTGGATGCCAGTTTGGTAGTAGTCGATCTTACGACTCATGTGATTGGGTTATAGAAGTTGGGTGTTACATTTTAGTATGAGACCATATGTTTTAAAATTGATCATCAAATGACAAATGAAAAACATTCAAAAGCTTCATTCATCAATTCCCATCTCTCGTAATTTCACTGCCCGAGGAAGATCATAATGTTAGGCATGAGGTCAAACTTCTCTGGTGTTGTTATTTTTCAAATTTTGATAAATGACACACACATAACAAATGGATTTATATTTCAAAACAAACAAGAAAAGAAGAATTTATTTTAAAAGAAATGGATGAATCCATGCGCAAGAATAATCCCTATGCAAAAGTGAAGAGAAGTGAAGAATAAGATATTTCGAAGACTTTTATTTATTTTTGAGTCTTAGGAATATTTAAGGATGACAAAATATTCTTGACTCATAAAATTATTCTTGAGGATTATTCAAAAATTATACTTCCTCCGTCCTACAAAACTCTTCCCCTTTCTTTTTTCAACTGTCCCAAAAAACATTTCCCTTTTCTTATTAAAAAGTCACTTTTACCCCTATTAATTTTTAACCTACCTATCACATCACATTTTTTCTCTATTAATCTACTCATCACATCCTACTTTATCCATCACATCAAAGATCATTTTTGGAAAGTCAACACCAAAATACATTCCCTTTAAATCCTTTAAAAGTTAAAATGGGAAGTTTTTTTAAGGGATGGAGGGAGTATTATTTTAGAGTCAATTGAGAAATTATATTTCTCTGTTCAAAAATATCTTTATTGAGTCAGTAACAAAGAATGTGTCAAAATTTTATCAAACTATTCTTTTTTATATAAAGCCACATATTCCTGCTATGAATACTCTTACCAGAATTGATATTCTTTCAAAGAAAAATGAAAGAATTCTTGCAAATGAGTCTTTAGCATATAAAAAGTGTGGGAGACTGCTTGATTCAAAAGATGTAAAATCAAAAAAACTTAAAAGGCAAGAGGCGATCTTTGAAGCTAAAGACGTTCATTCTTCAGGAAGAAGAAAATGAACAAATTGAGTATCTTGATATAGAAAATAATATCAACGGACATTTTGCTTAAAATGATGATTTAACAATATATGGAGATGTGAATAATTCTGATGAAGATAGAAGCGTTGATAATTATGAGATCTCAATAAGTTATGTTTCTACATACGGAATTGTAATGGAACTGATAGAATTTGATAATAACTTGTCTTATTCAATATTGAGAGATATGGCCCTATATATAGGGAATACAAGAGTAATCAAAGTACAAGTAGGAAAGGAAAGAATAATCCTTCATCCTTTCCTTTCTTCATAGGATTAAATTAATATGAAGGATTATAGGGGGGCGTTCGACTAGTTGCCTCTGCTCCCCGTCGAACCTTGTATTCATGAGTTTTCCTTGACCGCCTTCGCCTTTGGTAAGAATGCCTGCTAGCTGCTCTGAGGAGGAAACATGATGTGGAGTCATAGTGCCTGCCATAACCTCATCTCGTACAAAGTGACAGTCTGTGCCCACATGCTTCATGCGATCATGAAGAACCGGATTTTTGGTGACACACATAGTCGACTCATTGTCACAGTATAACTTCGGTTTGGACGGAGGAATACCCAGCGCATCAGTGATATATTGAAGCCACATAGCTTCTGCAGCCATAGCTCAATATTCAGCTTCAGTGGATGACCTAGAAACACGAGTCTGCTTTTTCGAGCACCAAGAGATGATATTAGGACCGAGTAGGAGTATGTAGCCCGTGGTAGACTTGCGATCATCTTTATCATTTGCCCAGTCAGAGTCAGAGTAGACAGATAGGTCGAATCCCCCCTTGCGAAAAAGAAGACAACGATTCAAAGTGCCTTTGAGATAGCGCAGAACGCGTTGCAAGACATGATAGTCCTGCTCAGTGGGGTTGTGTGCATAGTCTGAGACACTCGATTAACAGCATACTGAATGTCTGGACGAGTGACAGCTAAGTAAAGTAAACCGCCAACAATGCTCCGAAAATGAGAGATATCCTTGAAAGGCAACGAAGGCTTAGTGATAGGTCTCGTAGCCAGAGGAGTAATAGCCGGATGACAGTCGGACATCCCAGCTCGGCGTAGAAGATCACGGGCATATTTGGATTGATGGAGAAGCATAAAATCTTGCGTGCGCTGAACCTCAATGCCAAGGAAGTAATGAAGAGGTCCAAGTTCTTTGAGCTTGAAGTCACGGTGCATGGCCTGAGTAACTTCTGAGATGAGAGTAGAAGAGCTGCCAGTGAGAACAATATCATCAACATAGACAAGGACAACAATAGTCCCACGAGAGCAGTGTCTGGTGAACAAGCTGGTATCATGAATGCA